TGTGTATTTTATTATGTGTGAGTTTGTAAGTGTGTGTCTGTGCATAAGAGCGATTAAGCTCCAATCATATCGGTGCCCCTAATCCCTTTACATGGGCCTTCGCAGAGTAAAAGCTCAAAAATTGTAGAAGTGGAAGATCCTCGTAGTGAAATCTATGCATTTGTGTGTTAATCTAATGCACAGCGTGTATATTACGGATTAAATTAGACCTTAAAGCACTGACGGTGGGGTGTATAGTAGGAGGAAAAAGAAACTGAATAAAAGACAGAGTGAGACCAGGTGGTAGGGCTTTTCATCATGTATTAATTGTGGTCTATAAAAGGTCATAAATCAGCTGGAAGTGAACATCCCAGTATCTCAAAGTCCAAGGTAATGTCTTTAAACGTATTGTAAGTCAGTCCAAAACCAGAAGATGTTCACTTTTTGATTCTATATCAAAGATAAAATCAGGGAAACTCCACATTTGAGGGGCTGGCCATTTTTAGGTAAAACGTTACTCTCCTGATTGTTGGATTATCAAGATGGATCACAAGTGTTGCTGTAGGTATAAAACTGTTCACGATGGAGGATTTGTGAAATAAGGAGTATTGCCAGTTCCCTTAAGCATCATAACTGTGGAAGTGAAATTTCCTTAGACACCGGCCAACCGGAAACATTCAGCTTTGATCATTTGGTGACACACACACACACACACACACACACACACACACACACACACACACACACACACACACACACACACACACACACACACACACACACACACACACACACACACACACACACACACACACAGGCTGTGCTTTCAAGTCAGATCGACTTCCACTGGGCACAGATTCATCTGGAAATGATTTTGCCAGGTACAGAGAGTTGGCAGAACTTATTTTTCCATCGCAAATAAACACACACACACACACACACACACACACACACACACACACACCTCATCTTATCTTCCTCAAGCAGATGTTCCACATCTCTTCATGTCTATATCATACACCCTGACAAAGTGACATGTGTGTGAAAGAGAGAGAGGGATTTTTCAACCCAGCATTCACCAAAGCCTCTTACACAGACTACAGTACAGCAAAACCCCTTCATACTCCACACACATTCATCAAAAAAAGTATTTCCCACCGAAAATTTGATTCACATCATGATGGTAGCTACATCTCCTAAAGGTCTCAAATACACACACACACACATAATATAATACACCACTACACTGACTGCCAGAAAGCATTTAAAAAGAGCAGACCAACCATCAGGGACACATTTCCATATCACTCCTCTATTCTGTCCCTGCAAGTTCCTGCACTTCATGGCCCCTCATTTATCTTTCTCTATTCATAATTTTTTCATTTCTATAATAAACATATGAAAGGAGGACAGGACAACATAAAAAAGTTTAGAAGCGCGCACATTTCTAAAAACGTATGTGGTTTTCCCCCTCCTTTCTCACATCAAGAGAGAAACTTGTGGTCGGTGGCATGGGGTTGTTTGTCTAAGGGCAGGTGTCTTCCTTTTGTATACGACGATATCTCGGGCTCACTTAAATGATTAATATTGTTTAAATTATTTGTATGCAGTTATCATCTCAATGAATTGATTGGTTGTATGGGCAATACAATGTCAGAAGAAAAAAAATGTCCAGCATACATTTTAGAGGCCCAAGTCTCACACATGAAAAGCTGGACAAATTATTGCCAGCTTTGCTTAAAAGATTACTTAAACAATTTATCAGTTATAAAATAGTTGCAGATTCATCAATATGGTACATGTAAGCCTTTGTTAATAGATACTGTAAAAAATTACCTTGCCTTCAAATCTGCCTGATGCAATTACAGTGCAGCCCTCTGGACATGATCTGTGAATTCACCATACAACTGTGTTATTATTCTCCATTAATGTAACAAAGGAAGCTGAAAACATGAATTAGCTTCTCGTTCTTGAATTGCTCTTCATGTTGATACACACAAATAGTAAGGACAATAAAGCTAAGCAGAGCTAAAGATAAACATATGACTGCTATGTACATATATGAAAAGATAGATAGATAGATAGATAGATAGATAGATAGGTAGATAGATATATAGATAGATAGACACAAAGACAGACAGACAGACAGATAGATAGATAGATAGATAGATAGATACCTATGATAGATACCCATAAGCAATGTTTGTATTTACGTCTGCATAACGGTCCGTGAGCCACGCGCAGAAAGACAGAATCAGCTCGAGACTAGTTATTTACAGCTAGTTATCCCTATGTTAGCGGATGCTAGTGTTAGCTTGCTAGCTAGGAAAGTAAGCGCCTTGTATAATTACCAGATAACGTTTGTTGTTTTTCCTTGCCCAAACTTATCCGTGGATCCTTTCAAGAATATTTGATATTCACTGCGTTTATATACCGCTAAATATTCCAGCAGAAGGCAACTAAGGAGGAGAGACCTAGCTAAGGTAAGCTAACGCTAACAGGTAGGTTATGTTTCCTAACTCCGATAACACCTGATGACGTTGATCTAATTATCTAAAGTTCTAAACTGACTGTTTATATACAATACTTTTGATAACCATCAAGTCAATTACGTTTTCTAGGCCTACTTTAAGCTCTTTATCCACTCTTTTTAAAACATTTATTATCTCTTATTTAATGCTGCACTATTTTCATTAGTTTTTAGACACTGTCAGTCAACGTATTATGCGTAGACACTTGGTCAGCATGAATAATCACACATATGCATACACATTTGCTGTTTATTTGTTAAATCCAGTCACATTAAAGAAATATGAAGTATGTGTGAGTGTTTGGTAGAAACCTATAATGGCTGTATTGAACAAAACACAGCCAACCATAATACACATTGTAAATCAATCAGGTTCATTTGGTAGAAATGGACTACCTGATGTTTTATACAGAGTAAAATTAAGGTTATAAGCCTGTCTATTTGATTAATGATGGTATTACTGTGATGTAGTGTTTAAGTGTACAATCATACTCTGTAAAAAGTTTTGATAAGTCTATCATGGTCATAGAAATGCAATTGAACAGACGCCAATTCAATACAGATGTTGCAAACAGAAGCTATATTATTAAGGTACTGGACTGAATCTTATTTACTTTATCTATGTTTAAAGTGGTCTAAAAGGTTATATAAGATCAAAGGTGGGAAGAGGAAATGTGTGATCTGGGGGGTGAGGACAAGAGAAGAAGTGAGTCAGAAAAAGATGAGAAAGGCCCAAGATCAAACGTCTTACTGACTTTTACAAAATATACCAATTTTTACCGGTAAATCAGCCCCCTTCCTGTGAAGATATCCAGGGTTCAGGACATTTGATTTTATAGCTTGGGTGATAAACAGCACTTGGCTTTTGATCGGAAGGGATTGGTTCTGTCAATAAATAAACGCAGTCAGAACCTTCAGGTGTTTTCAACAAGACATGTTCTTTTACGCTTATATTTGGAGTTCAAATCTGGCTTCGTGTGTCAGTCTTGTTCTTGCTCACAGATTATGGGCATGAGCAGGAGGGTATGACCGTTTGTGTGTGATGTGTTTAAACCCTGACAGGCGAATGATGTAAGGCAGGCCCAGTGGCTGATGAAGAGCAACATGATGACAGAAAGTTGAAACATCCCATCCTCTTTAAATGAATTCTTCACTCAAATATGAGAGGGAACTTGTAAACAAAATATGCCCTTTTAAAATCCTTTGAAATTATGGAAACAGGTTGATTAAAAATGTTGCTTGTGTGAAGAAGCTCCCCTTTTGTAAAGCAGTTGAGCTTAGAATAATTACACAAATAAGTTAGGTGTTCAATTTATCTCTGAGGCATTATGCTTCAAGATAGTAATGTCTAGGACTGACCACTAATGTGTCAGTCTATTAATCAAAGTTGATTTCATAGCATTAAGATCAATATCATCTTCAAATCACATATTTTGTGTTACGATTCCAGGCACTTAGTATGTACGACCCAAATGCAGACAGGGAGGCAGAGGTAAAGTATTGAGAGATACTTTATTTTTCCATGATTTAGCAAAAATGAACAAAAAAGGTAATCACCAAAACTCCAGTCGAGAGGACAAAAAATGAAGGCGCTCACGCAGTGAGGAATCAAATACCAAAGACTTCCAAAAGCATAGACCTGACAAACTGAACACTGGGAGACAGGGGAATTTAAACACAGGGTAACAAGGCACAGGTGGGAACAATATGGGGCGGGGCTGACACTGATGGGCACAGGAGACACACGAGGAGTGACAGGTGAAAACAATCAGGGAATTAGACACACCAGGGAACTAACAACAGACATGAAAAACACAGGGAAAAGGACCAGACAATAACCCAAGAGGAAAAACATGACAGCAAACACCCAAACCTAGACAGACAACACTAAAACCTGTGACATAAACCTGGGGGTGTGACAGAACCTCCCCCTCAAGGGACGGATCCCAGACGTCCCAAAAAACAAAGTCCAGCAGGGTGGGTGGAGGGGGTCCGGAGGACGGGTCTCGGGCGGACGGCCCGGGGCAAGGCAGAGACCATGGATGGGTTCTCGGGCGGACGGCCCGGGGATAAGGCAGAGTTCAAAAAGGGGGTCTCGGGCGGACGGCCCGGGGGCAAGGCAGAGTTCAAAGATGGGTTCTCGGGCGGACGGCCCGAGGGCAAGGCAGATTTCAAAAAGGGGGTCTCGGGCGGACGGCCCGGGGGCAAGGCAGAGTTCGAGGAGGGGCGAAGACCACAGCTCTCAGGGGACCGGGCAGGAGCCGGTGTTGACCGGACAGGAACCGGAGCCGGTGGAACGGCTGTTGGCAAGATTCTCCACGGAAGAGGACAAGGAGTTGGCAGGACCCCCGACGATACAGGTGATGTCGAGGCCTCCAACGAAACAGGACATGGGGTTGGCAGGGCCCCCGGTAGAAGAGTAGTCGGCGGGACCCCCAACGGGACAGGACACAGGGCCGGCAGGACCCCCGGCAGAAGAGTAGTCGGCGGGGCCTCCAACGGCACAGGACATAGGGTTGGCAGGACCCCCAGCGGAACCTCCAACGGCACAAGAGTAGGGACTTGAGTGGAGACTCGAGAGGAAACTTGAGAGTTGACTTGAGAGATGGCTTGAGAGGGATCTTGAGCGGGAACTTGAACGGAGACTTGAGAGGAAACTCGAGAGGAAACTCGAGAAGTGACTCGAGAGGGGACTTGAGAAGGGACTCGAGAGGTGACTTGAGAGGTGACTTGAGAAGTGTCTTGAATGGGAACTCCAGAGGTGACTTGAGAAGTGTCTTGAATGGGAACTCCAGAGGTGACTTGAGAAGTGTCTTGAATGGTGACTCGAGAGGGGACTCGAGAAGAGACTCGAGAGGGGACTCGAGAGGGGACTCGAGAGCGAACTCGAGAGGTGACTTGAGAAGTGTCTTGAATGGGAACTCCAGAGGTGACTCGAGAGGGGACTCGAGAAGAGACTCGAGAGGGGACTCGAGAGGGAACTCGAGAGGTGACTTGAGAGGTGACTTGAGAGGTGACTTGAATGGGAACTCGAGAGGTGACTCGAGAGGGGACTTGAGAAGAGATTTGAGAGGGGACTCGAGAGGGGACTTGAGAGGTGACTCGAGAGGTGACTTGAGAGGGAACTCGAGAAGTGTCTTGAATGGGGACTCGAGAGGAGACTTGAGAAGTGTCTTGAATGGGGACTCGAGAGGTGACTCGAGAGGGTACTTGAGAAGAGACTTGAGACGGTTGGTTCGCCAACAGAACACGAGGAGCTGGAGTCGGCTGGAGAGCCAGCAGGAGACGAGGTGCTGGAGTCGGCCGGTATGCCGACAGGACTCGGGGAGCTGGCGTTGGCCTGTAAGCCAGTCCTGGAGACGAAACTGGAGTCGGAACCATGGGTACTGGGGCCGGTACTGAAGCCAGAACCATGGCTGTAAGGTCCGGTTCTGGAGCGGGAAACATGGCTGTAAGGTCCAGTTCTGGAGCCGGAAACATGACTGCTGGGGCCGGCACTGGAGCCGGAAACATGGCTGTATGGTCCGGTTCTGGAGCCGGAAACATGGCTGTAAGGTCCGGAGCTGAAGTCTGGATCATGGCTGTGTGGGCCGGTTTTGGAGCCGGAAACATGGCTGTAAGATCCGGTTCTGGAGCAGGGACCATGGCTGCTGGGGCCGGCACTGGAGCCGGAACCGTGGCTGCTGGGCAAGGAACCGGAACACGGATCCATGGCTGTGTGGGATGGTACTGGAGCACGGTACCATGGCTATGTGGGATGGTACTGGAGCACGGTACCATGGCTATGTGGGATAGTACTGGAGCATGGAGGCATGGCTGCTGGGGCCTGTACTGGGGCAGGAGCCATGGCTCTTGGGGCTCGGGCTGCTAGCTTGGCTTTGCGACTCCTTCTCTTAGCAGCCGCCTGAAGGCTCCGTGGACCTCCATAAGCCAGACGAGTTCCAGCATACGACTCCTGGACAGGAGCAGGAACTGGGGCAGCAGCATGGGTTGTCTTCAGACGGATCCCATCGAGGTATATGGTGCCAGGTTGGGAATCCCACACCGGGATCATGGCTGTTGGAGCACGGGCTGGAATCCTGGCCCTGCGTCTCCTAGAGGCTCTTTGGAGACTCCGTGGACCTCCAACAGGACCGTAGTCGGATCCGAGGAAAGGGTTAGAAGCGTCGGACCAGTCCTCAGGCCAACTTGTGAAAAGCTGTAACCAATCTGGCAACGAACTTCTCAACCAAGGCATTTCGGCCACCTCCATTCGTGCTCTCTCGAGAATAGCCTCTTTGTCCTTCCTAGAAGAAGTTCCTTTCCACTCGGCATNTTACGGCTGCAGGACAGGACTCCCTGCTGGTTTGAGGAATGTGAGACGAGAGTTTCAGTCTGCCTGCTCATTAGCTCCAACGCAGCGACCCGGTGACCGCCTCGTCTCACATTCCTCAAACCAGCAGGGAGTCCTGTCCTGCAGCCGTAATGCTTCAGAGTCGAGAGGCATGACTGACAACATGCCAACACTCTGGTCGACTCGTGCACAACGGGTGTCAAAATGCGCTATTGAGACGAGTCGAATAACATTTAGGAAATTGAAAGGCCACGTTCCATTTCACTCTCGTGTATTTTTTAACAATTTGCAAAAATAAAGGGTTGATATTGCAGATACTGAAAGAAGCACAGACACACACACACCAAACACTCACACAGTGCAAAGATAATTATACATTTCGTTCAGCAGGATAATCTCCACATATTAACACCACTTTATGATGTTTGAAAGTAAAAAGCTAATGTTGGGCTTTAAAGGAACTACAGCACGGTCACATGACTTCAGGTCACCACCGCTAAGCTAAAGGTGGCTAATGTTGGGCTATAAAGGAACTACAGCACGGTCACATGACTTCACGTCACCACCGCTAAGCTAAAGGAGGCTAATGTTGGGCTATAAAGGAACTACAGCACGGTCACATGACTTCACGTCACCACCGCTAAGCTAAAGGTGGCTAATGTTGGGCTATAAAGGAACTACAGCACGGTCACATGACTTCACGTCACAACCGCTAAGCTAAAGGTGGCTAATGTTGAGGGTGATGATGTTTAGTCGTCTCCTTTAGACACGTGTTAGCAACAGGCGTTTTTAAATTCGCCAGTGGGGTATTTACTGAGGTATTTAATGTCATACAAACAAACGTAGAAGTTTCAGCTTGTTAAAATTAATTGACTTTGTGAGCTTTTTTTCCGCAACAAAAGAACTATTCTACCGCCATCCTGGTGTTTTATTAGTCTTTTCAGATACTTGTTTGTTGTACATTGGGAAGATCTGTTATCTTCTGTTTTCCCTTTTCTTGTCTGAACCAAGCCTTTTAAATAAAGGACGTTTCTGTTACGATCATCTGTCTCCTGCATTTTGGTCCACCCTGCTTTTCCTAACACTCTTTTTTTTAAATCTCTTGACCTCTCATCAAGAGGAAAGCTGGCATTTATAGAAAAAGGGGGACAGGCTACGTGTAAATAATCCATCCTTCCTCTGACCTATTTTAGCGTGGAGATGAAAATGCAGATCGATAGCAGGAGGGATCTCAGCTTGTCAGGATGAAAGGTCAAATAAAGAAAAGCTGTCGCAGCGAGACGTGATGCGAGGCACGTTTTTCTTTTTGTATTCATCTATTATATATGAACATCATAACTTCTACATACAACAAACTCCAGGGGCAGACATACAAAGAAACAACACATTACATACAGTAAAGAAAGAAAGAAAAGGAAAGAAAAACACATTTTGATACTTCAGAATAAATATTTTTTCCAGGGTTTAAATGCACAAAATATGTTTTGCCGTTTACTCCAAACTAGACAATACTTTAACCGAGCCTTTTAGATGGTTAATGATTATTCCTAATGATATGAAGCCCTAAAAACATGTCCTAAGTTGTCCACCTGTGGCTGACTTGTTCCCTCTTCAACCATCCTCTTGAACATGTTGTTGTTTTGATATTTGCGCATATCCAAAAAGCTGTTGATATCAGTATTTTGTGATGTTTTCAAGTAGGTGTGTTCCTTCTTCCGACCTGAACAATTGTGATGCATCTCTAGTCAATCTAGTCATCTCAAATCCTAATTGAGACGCATATTCAAAAAGTGTAGTATACACAAACAAATAATGCTCTTAAACACGAGTACAACTAGCTAATCTTACTTCAATGCTACATTCAGAATAAGAATGTATTCCGTATTGAATTTCTGATTGACTGTAGATCAGTCAGAGGGCTTTGGGTTGGATCCAAGCCCCTGCAGTCAACAAGTCAAAAAGTCAATGTTTCCTTCAGCACGATAGCTAGCCCCCAGTTGCCCCCGATGGCATGGCCCAGGGTGTGTGAGTGTGTGTGAAGGCAAGATGCATGACAGCCTCCAGCTCTGCATGAATGTGTGAATGATGACTTGTATTATGTGCAGCGCTTTGAGGAGTCGTAAAGACTGAATAAAGCACTTAATAAAAACAGTCTATTCACCAGATGTCTTGGGACAACATTGCAACTGTATTAGTAACTGTTTCCGATTACCATTGAATCTCAGTTGTCTCCTTAATGAGGAGAAATACAGCAGAACATCCTGAGAATAACACGTAAGAGCTTTCATGGCACATAGTTAAGGAAGCCATAAAATTCACAAGTGTCATCCCGAGTTGAAAAGATAAACCTGAATATGCTCAGTGTCTTCCTCCGAAAGGGCACTCGGTGCACCATCACAGGAGGAGATTCTGCCCTTTCCTCGGATGACAATCCAGTTCCACCTGATTTCTACATAATAGAAATGTCAGTGTGTGTTTCCGATACAACTGCTTCATGCTACCTCTTGTTTAAAAAAAAAACCTCTCCTGATTCTCCAGGGCCTCCGTTATCATTTTAACTCTCAAACACGAGCTGTTTCTGTCACTTCTCATCTCTCATTCATCCCAAAAAACCTCCCCCTCGCTCTCCAAAATGTTTTAACTCTGCTGAATATTTCATACCTCTGAGTGTTAACTGCCGGGCCGACACACACTGCCCAGCCTCGATGATTGTGACGCCCCAAGAGGCAAGCATGAGTTTACATCACGGTGACATCAAGACCGCTGAACACATTTTGGGATGGGGTCCAGGAACAGAGACAGCCGGCGGCGTGTGAAGAACCCGGCTCTTAAAATATAACCACTCTCCTGCCTGCCTTAACCTGGATTTCAAAATACATGCCAGCCCCGAAGAAATCATCGATCTCTTTCTAACAAACAGGGACGGACAGCTTTAGGTCGGTGTTACGGCTGTCGCCTTCCTGATCGTCTGTTCACCTGTGTTATATGCAAATGAGCTGTGCGGTTGCCCTGACGTCATTGGCTGCTATCTCCTGGTCCGCCCCCTGGAGATTGTGATTGGAGCACGCCGGGCCCGACGCACTCTAATCGCCGGCGCACACCTGCTGGAGATGACTACAAAGCCTGGGGATAATTATCACTTGGGAGGCTCTGCTGCCATCAGACGCTTCATGCATTTTGCTCTTGTGTCGTGGACACTTTAGACTTGAGCCATCAGACTGTGTTCGACTCGTGTGGTCCGTGTTTAGTGTAGTGTGTTTGGTGTGATTATATGTGTGCTTAGTGTCGTGTTGATATATGTGTTTAGCTTCCCTTTATTAGCTGTGTTTTCCTGCAGCCTCCTTTTGTTAGTGTTGATTGGTAGTGACTTCAGAGGCCTGTACTACGAAGCTGGATTTTCCTAACCTGGATATGTTTGAGTTAGCTGGTTGGACTAATCCAAAACATACGCGCTGTCGCTAAGCCGTACTACGACGCGGGTTATCAAGTGGATCGCTCAAGCCAGCCGTGTCCTATCTAGTTAGGTGCGCGTTCACATGAAAGGGGTGGTATTTGGAGCATTCGACCAATCACAAACATGGAGAAGCGTACTGACAGCGCAGCGTCATACTTCCTGAATGAAAAGTTTATATTAGTCAAATATGAAGAAGTTAAACTTTAAACATCCATGACTTAAACACTTTATCCAGGGTAAAAGCCACATAGCTGCACCTGCAAGGTGAATACAGCTGGTAACAGAAAAACTGTTTGAATGCGTACATTAACAGGTTTATGATATCACTGCCCCGTCTAAGACACGATCTGACTTTAATTACATTTGACTCGAGTGTTTCGTCAACTTAATGTGTTGCTTAAAATAATACTTCTGCATACAGTATGTGACACTGTGAGTGTTGCGCGGCCAGATACGGCTCAGCTGACTCAGATAAGGAAATATATGATACATTATGATTTGATATGCCGCGGACTGTACTGCTACTTTGATCCGGTTACTTATGTTGTGGCAGATATTTAAGTAAGCTTTCTTAACGCTAATGTTATAATAGTCAGATTGCTCTGAAGATGGGAGGTGATATTCTATTAATGTTCACGTTCACA